GGATATTTATGTGGGACATTTAGAGAAGTGCACTCGTGTAAATCACTACATTGGACACTACACTACAGTCTTCGAACACGCAGAGTAACCATATTGAATTTTTGTATACGTTGTTCATACGGTTTCCTGTGAGAGAACCCGCTCGAGCAGAAAGCCAAGTGTCTAGTGAACGCTCGTTGTATGCTCTCAATACGTTGTGGACTCCATGTTACACTTGCGTATCCGAGATGGCTGCGTACAAAAGCATTGTATAAGAGGATCTTGGTTTGTGTTTGTTTAAAACCTATGGAGTTTCTTTTGAGGAATCCAAGCATCTGCATCTATCATAACTAACGTATTCAATATTTTTGCTAAATTGGCCCCCTTTACACAGTAACTCTATCGCTAATGATCAGGCTCGTACAGGATCGGGCGCGGGAAAACCTGCACGCGCAAACGTGTGCGATTACCTGTTTGAATTTTTTTAAGCTAACGTTCTTTCGCACGCGATTGCTCGTGTTCGTTTTTGTTGCAATGGAAAGAGCGTCCGTGTAAAGGCTAATAGCGCAGCGCGTGCGTCTTTTCCTTCCAAGTACTTCCAACGTCTTTAGATGCGCGCTCAATCGCGTACGATTGCTATATCACATGTGATAGAGTGTCTGTTTGAAGCCCGATATTGAGTTATTAACATTATCTGGAATCAACGAAAGGAGAACTACTACCCCCTATAAGCGGTTTTTTAATATCTTATTTAGTTTCACTTTCATTTTAAAAGCTAAAAAAAGCATAATTGACATTTTTGTAAATAAAAAAATTTGATACCAATATCTCGCAAGATACCAAAATGCAAATGCGTTAGTACAGGGAGCGTATAATCTAATAAACTAATAGGGGACGAATGATTTTCTTTTTTAGTACTCTTTACTGGGATTATTAACTGCCGCCGTTACCGAATGGTTACCATGCTGGAACGCCACGCAGAGGTCCTGGGTTCGATTCCCAGGCCGAGAGAAATATGTGTATGGCCTACATCTATTTCGCTCGTGAGTTTGGGTGTAATTTGGTTGTCTATGTGTGTGTCCATGGCACCCGCGACACAGTTTTTCCTTAGTGCGGGGCATGAGTGTGTTGCGTTGTTATTATTATTTATATCTGAGGTTTAGGGGTGTCGTTTGCTTTAGCATTGAAATATGTTGTTTCTATTGAGGAATTTGATTATTTAAAAAAATGTATTAATGGTATAGTAAGAATATGTAGTTCTTAAGTTTTCGCGATTGTTATACATAGGAAATGAAACTATAAAGGTCCCGAAACGTCGGTTTGTTTGAAAAAACAAATATACGCGATTGAAATCCGGAAAAATAGTTTCATTTCCTAAGAATATTTAATGTAACGAATGACCAAAAGTGTAATTTGGAATAAGTACAGGAACGGTAGAATTAGAATTCCTTAATTTTTTTGAAGTGTGGTTGTCATCTGTCTGTTTTGTTTAAGCATTATAGTAGTATAGTACTATCCCAAGCGTCGGGAGCTACTCGAGTTTTGCGGAAGCTGACGATTGCATTGTTAATCTATTTCATTGTAATGTATTATCTGACATAATTGTCTCGGTCATCAGGTCACTACTGTCAAATGAACACCAAGGTTATTCTGATCATTCTTTTGAAAACACACACGAACGTCCTCCCAATAGGTAAACGTGTAAAAGTTTTTACGCCCTTTTTTATCTGGTTGGTTACGTTCTATTACCTTTTATATAGCACCTAAATTTTCCTATAAGTCTTCCTATAAATATAAAATAATACACCTATAGAAAAATATAAAATTTTACTTACGACGTAAAAACATAATGTATATCCATATATCCATTATTATCCAATCCATGGCAATATTGAACGTTAGTCAATAACGCAATTACCTATTATAAATATATTAAAACAAGTAAACTAAACTGTTTGTTGTCTGATAAATAAAACTTATTATTGTGTTAATTATTATTGCCAAGTAGATTAAATATACTCAATTTTCTTAAATTTATTTTGCTTAGAATAGTTGAAACAAAAAAATGAAGGAGAATATTATTAATTGTTATTATTAACCGACATCAAAAAAAGGAGGAGGTTCTAAATTCGACTTTTTGTATGTATGTTACGCGATAACTCCGGAATTTGTGAACCGATTTTCATGATTCTGTTTTTGTTGGAAAGAGAAGATTTAATTTTGAAGAAAATCATCCACCTCTAAGGGTGGCTGTTCATGCATAAAGGTTCATTTTTATAAATAGCGCCTCAATTCTATTATAATGACCAATTATTTTAATGGTTGATTTTGCTATTCTCCAATTCAAGGCGTTTTCTCTCAATATACTTTGAGTAGTGAGAACCGATTTTTATTGTCTCCTGTGTCAAGTCCCCCCGTATAGTGGCGAACTAGGGGATGAGTCCGGGTTTGCGCACTTTCCGGTAACCGATTTCAATAAAACTTGGTAATTACATGTAATTCCACGTACTTTTGCGGTCGGTTTTTTTAGTACCTACTCCTGAGATTGTATGATACTAAGTGAGGGCGCGTTCCCATAATGTCGTGACGACAGAAAGTCGTGCAGTTTAAAGTGTCCTGGCTTGTATATTTAAATGGAGTTGTTAATATATAACACGATGAATTGTCCTTCACGACTTTTTTAACGTTACGACGACATACTGTCGGGACAATGGGGAGAGTTAAAACGACAGTCGTCTAACGATAAAAATGTGACGACAGATAATAGCAGCCTCAAACGATTCTGTCGTGCAAACGACAAGGCGGCTGCCGTGAACCGACATTGTCGTCACGATCTAGTGGGAACAGCTAGACACGATAGTCTTCCAGCGTTAAATAAAATGTTACGACATAACTGCCTTCGTGGCAGAACAGTTACCATGTCGAACTGCCACGCAGAGGTCCCAGGGTCGCTCGTGAGTTTGGGTGTAATTTGTGGTTGTCTATGTGTGTGTCCATGGCACCCGCGATACAAGGTTTCCCTAGTGCGGGGCTATGTTGAGTTTTTGCGTTATTATTATTATTATTATTATGACGGGAACGTGCCCTTACGGGACGAACAAGTCATGCTGGTGGAAAGCAACACGCCCAAAGCAACACAACCACTATCGTCAAGATCTGAGGAACTCTAGTTACGTACACCTGTGATAGTTTATAGGCGACAGATCTTGCTAACGGTGAAAGGAAGCATAATGAAACTGCCTTTTCGAAGCTTTACGGCGAGTGGAACTGTGTAAAATGCCAACCTATATGAACGAGAGCAGCGGACTATCTATCATAGCAGTAGAGATCCTTATGAAAGAATTCTTCCAGGGAAGTACAGCCACCTTACCTATTTCTGCCGCCAAGCATATTACAGGCACATAGACTTGCTAATCTCATTTGCTTGTCTCAAGGTGATTGGGTCTCACAGACCTTTGCGATGTAAAGCTCTGAGTGACATTTAAAGTTGTTCATCCTATTCCTTGGTATATACGTGGACCCGGGGCGGCTCACCTAAGCCACTAGAAGTCCGTGCAAACGTGCTGATCCGGGGTTAGGACCTGACTTAGTCCCTGTGCGGGTGCGCTCGCATAGATCATAGTGCCCTTACCGCATAACCAAGAGGTTGATAGACAGGGATACTATAAACAAAACTTATGTAGACAGATACGGGACTGTCCCTTGATATCATAAAAAAATTTTGAGAGATCTGGAGACCAATGACCAGGGACATGTTATAGTGGATTGACGTTTATGAATTGTTTGAATGATATTCTGATAATTGTATACAATGGACTTGACACCGGACAGTCCAACCTAGTTAGAAAAACAAATAAACTTGTTAGTTATGTACATCAATTTATTCATATACCACTTATCAATATAAGTTGTATTAGTTTGCACTCTTTCATTGAAGTTAATTAGTTTGTGCTAAGAGCTAGATTGGTACTTTAGGACCACAATAAATACAATATCTAACTGCGTAATGTAATGAAGTGTGTTTGCAAAAATTTTGGTAGACTATAGATTTCCCTAGTTTGAGACCAGGTCGTGGCGGGTTATTTATTTTTTTATTTCATGCACAAAACAGATTGCATTCAACGGTACTCCAATAAATGTTACAATTTATGGTTTTAATCTAGGGTGTAAACCTAACATATGTACATACAGCATGATTATTCAGCTCGTAAACATTAATATTAAAAAGTAAGCAAACAGTTTCTTTAACATGTATATGGATAAAAATTCAATAATATATGAAAGCTTAAAAACTAGTGGAAATAAAAATACAAATGATGACTAATAAGAAGCCGAGGTGAAGTGTTTCTGAATATTGTTACGATATCTGTAGGTTTTGTTATCAAAAACATCAATGAGACCTCCACATTCTGATGTTATTAATTCATTATACGTTCGGCACACTCTCGTCAAGGGATTATAAAAAGAAGTGTTATTCCTGTACACATGCAGTACAAATGTTTTATGACGACGGGGATTTGGCCTAATATTAAAGTTAATGTCGCCTAAAAGATTTATGCATCTGGAGTCTAGTCTGGAGTAAAGATATCTTGAACTTTTCGTGCCACTCCCTGTACGTAAATAATTTACGACCTAGCCCTAATCTGTAGCAGATAATTTTTAGAGCTTTGTTCTGTACTTGTTCTATACGATTACAATGCATTTCGTAGTAAGGGGACCATATAACAAAGCCATACTCAAGCGTATTTCTTATTAAGGCGTTAAGAAGATAGATGAAACTCTTTCTTCGTCTTCTTTCGTCTTTTAAAATTTGATGTAGCTCTTGTGATGAAGCCTAAAGTTTTATATGCTTTGGATACGATATATGTAATCAAAGTGACCTCTGAAATTAAGCTTCTCATCAAAGTACATACCCAGATCCTTGGCTACCGACTTACGTTGGAGAGTTTGACCGTCAATTGTATAATCAAAATGTTGTTAAAACATTTGAAATTTAAACTTAAAAATGAAATATACGAATCATGTTGTGGAACCTAAATCTTTTTGTTTCTGACTTTAACATACAAGTAAATATTATCTATTTGATGTAACAGCTTTTTTTATGATATCAAGTGACGGAACGAACAAGTCGTGCGCCTGGTGGCAAGCGACGTGCCTATCCATTACAGTTGCAGTGCCACTCAGAGCTTGAAATCGCAAAGATGTAAGCGGTAAGAAACTGCGGGTGTTCACTCTGAGACATAAGTTGACAAATCTCATGTGAATGAAATTTGACAAGCAGCCTTACCGCTTGCGGCAGGAATAAGTAAGGTGGCAGTACTTCCCTGGACGAATTCTTTCACAAAGAGCTCTACTGTTTCTAAAACACACAGCTGCATACATAATTGAGATTTTATGCCTTTGTAATAACCGGTCATTTTCATTTTCATTTCAGTACCTGTACGAAATCGGTCATAGAGTATGTGTAACTCAACCACGAGTGACAGGCGCCGTGTCCCTCGCTCACCGTGTGGCTGAAGAACGAGGAGAAGACCTTGGACACAGCGTCGGATACGCGGCTGGCATGACTGCAGTACGTACTGTCGACACTGGCATTGTGGTGAGTACTTTTAGAGGGCACTGTTTTACACACAGAACAATAAATACTGTAGAAGTGGTTAGTTAGCGTCCGACGCGGGCCGACTAAAGGTCTAGAAACTATCTGAACTCAATCAGTCTTTTTCGCTTTGGTATGGTTGTGTCATTCTTTCGTGCAAATTCTCTAAAATCCTTGAAAATGCCTTATTGTGCTGTTTTAGAGTGCAGAAATGATAGCCACACCAAACATATTGCCCGTGGTGGTATTTCATATCATCGAAGTCTTATTTTAATAAATTTGAAATTTTCTGTTTATGAAAATAATTATTTTGTTACAAAAAACGAAAGTAAAGCTCATACCCCAGAAATATGGTTGCTTCTTTTTTGGAGGACTAAATTAATAACTCCAATGCGCCGTCTTTCGGCAGTAAACCGCGATTCGAAGCGATTCGTTCCGTGTACCGTTTAGGCTCTCGGGTTTCTCTCAGAGAAAAGTTTATGGCGACTGATATCATGATTGTGGCATCACAGTACTTATTACTTGTTATTATTAACCTTACCCTTTAAAACCGGAACACAGTAATGCTAACATTACTGCTTGGCGGCAGAAATAGGTAAGGTGGCAGTACTTCACTGGACGAGTTCTTTCACAAGTAGCTCTACTATTACTAATTCGTATGAAATATATTGCTTCTAAAGAAGTTAAGTTTACATGATTTTAGAACACGTCTTTTCTCCTCGAGAATTTTGATGTTAATGACGGCGGAACGAAGAAAAGTAAGAAAGAGAATTAAAGAACAATTCAAAATTGAAAAAGTAAGTGGCCAGGAATTAGAGGAGAGGGTGATAAAAAGGTGGGATGACGAAAGAGGTCGCATCGTCACAAAACTATCTCAGAGGACAACACTCCCCAGCATTGGGACGTATAATCGATTAACTAGTCTAGTAACGTTAATGATGTCGACTGAAATTCAGTTGACACAATAAAGAAATTTTTATCAACGGATCTATATTGAATTCGATTAGTTGCTATGCAAAACCGGATTAAAGTACGGTATATCGTGTGACTCATGTGTTTTTGCACGCAGCTAGCAGATGTAATGTGAGTATAATTAGTATGTGTAGGCACGCAAAAAGCACGCCAGTTCCATGTGTATTCAGACCTTTATAACACTGTTCATAATGTCATCAGTTCAACAAAAGAAGTTATTGGCGCTTACGCGTTTTTTCCTTCAAAGGAGTCCATAATCAAACTTAGTAAAATCGATATTACACTACACGCATTTACTTGCGTGCGCCGTAATAATAGAGAAAGATAATTAATTTGTGACTTAAATTCCAATTAATATAATGAATTTTATCGTTATAACTTCTCTCTAGAGAATACTTATGACCATGTCTCGGCCAATGACACGCTGGGCCACAATAGACGCCATTATCGTGTGTACGTGCGTTTTTACGAATTCATTTTTATAATTACTATATACAGATATTTCGTATACCTACTCAAATGCTGGTTAAGCCATATAAACAACCAGTTTGTAATGTAAGTTTGAAATACACAGCCATAGGGTTGTGTACTTGTGGGTCTGTTTCTGTGTGAGAGCTATAATCTCTCTAAAATCTTAAAGCGGATTTTTCTATGTGTTCGTTGCAGATCTTGGTTGTTCGTTTTTAACGACTTTTTTGCCGTAGCGCCATCTGTGAGAATCTATTTTTTTTGTATAAAAAGTAAGTGCGCATTTGACGTCCATCTCACCTGATGGAAAGTGACGATGAGGTCGACGATGCACTCTCGCCTTGACAAGGTCCAAGTCCAACTTATGGAGTTCGGGGAACAAGTCCACAGGCATGGAATTCCACTCCCTAGCCGCTCGTCATATAAATGTGGAAGCGAAACGCTTCGTGCGAATCCTGGGGATATCCACAACATAGGGGTGGAACCCCAGCCCACGTCTAACCCCCCGATGATGGACAGGTGGAATCAAATTATGCAATTCCATCGCACACTCTCCGTGATATATCCTGTAGAATACCGATAAGCAGGCAACTTTACTTCGGTGTTCAAGGCTCTGCAGCTTCGCCTTTACTGATTCCGAGTCACCTATAAGCCTGTTGGCACGCTTGTCGATTGAATCCTAATTGAAAGGGACTCTGTTTCGTGGAGAATAGACACGCCTACGTTTTGGTAGCATTAAATTTGACAAGATTGGCATCGCTCCAAACGCAGACTGCCTTAAGTGTCAAAATTTATATCTCATAAGTAAAAAGTAACAAAGGTCTGCAACAAATACATAGAAAAATTCGTAAGATCTGCTGGTTCGTTCTGTTGGCTTAATTGCCAAAGCATCTGGCACGGATTGCCTATGAGCGCTGGTTCGAATCCTGCCTTGTCGAATGAATTTTTCTTAGTGTTTCGATCTTTGTTATAATATATATAACAAACTCGTGGAGTAATTTGACAAAAAATAATTGAATATCATGGTAACGCACACAATAAAGCACACTCTCAACATTGCCCCATACTAGGGAAACCCTGGGTCGCGGGTGCCATGGATACTTACATAAACACCCACCCACTCATGTATGTATATCTTTAATTTGAGTGTGGATTGCGTCCTTCTTGCATCTATAGCCATCACAAAATAAGAGGCACCTTTTGACAGTCTTGTCTTTGCGACGTAAATAGGAATGTGGACTAAACGTATCGGGAACGATTTTTACGAGATATCGATTCGAAATTTTATGAGTCTGTTATCGTTTAGATTATTTTTCGGGTCATTGGTTTTCAGTTCTAGATATTAGACTTAATATTTATTTAAGTAATATAGAGTTTTAATATAAATAATAAGTAAGTATTTTTAATGATCATAATGATAACCTGAAGCTGTTGTTGTTGTGTAGTTATATTAAGATAGTTCACAAGGGCAACCCGTAGTTAAATAGTGAACTTGTAAAGAAAAACAAAAAAAATTATGGGACCTGTAAAGGGCCCGAAACGTTTATTTGTTTGAAAAAAAAAACAAATATACGCGATTTAAATCCGGAAAAATAGTTTAATTTACTATGTGTAACAATCGTGAAAACCTAGGAACTCGATACAAAAAAAAGATTACTTTATAGTTGAAATTTTTATTCACTATCATCGGAAGAGAGCCAAAATCACCAGTTCACCTAGTATCAACTGTATGTATAATATTTGATTTTCAATCATAATAACATTATCAATGTTTACATCTCTGTCAAAATCAAAATTAAGAAGTCTATTTTTTTTAAAGTTTGGCGATTAACTGGTTACAACACTATTATTTAAAAAAATTAGATTGAGGACGTAACTGTTGACTAAGACATCTTAGACTGTAATTAATCATAACAAGCGTTAGGCAATTTTTCTGAGCAACGTATTATCGGTTTAGCTGTTCACATATGAACTGTAACCGTGTTATACTCATTCTTTCCACGATTAGTGGAGTATGTTAACTTTGGAAGGCTGAGTGAGATACGATAACAGTTTCAGATACGGTAGTTGGGGAGGAAAGGAACGATATATCTTGATCATCATTTTAAGATAAACATAACAAAAAAAAAATGTTGACACAGAAAGGGGGACTGGGGCATGGAGGTTGGGAGAACTTTTTAGGTAAAAAGTATCTTCTGGTTTTTATTTTTTTGTCCATTAATATTACACTTACCTTATTGATTATTTTACCATTTCAGTAGAGTTATATTCTTGTCGGTGGAGCCTCTTCCAGTCATCTCTCCTACAAGCCAGCTCCTGGACCTCTTTATGCGACACGACACCGGCCTTTTCCTTTATTTGGTCGATTTCTTCCCTTCTTCCCCCCGATCTTTGCCTCCAAAATGGTCTTAAAGATGTTGTCGTGTTGTATCAAATGTCCCATCATTTTTCCGCGTCTATATTCTATAGTATTCAGGATCGTTCTTTTCTCGTTTACTTTTCTCAGTACTTCCTCATTGGTTTTCTTTTCTATCCAACTTATACCCTTCATCCTCTTCCAGCACCACATCTCAAAAGCTTCTAGTTTTTCCCTATCTCTTTGTGTCAGTGTCCATGTTTCATATTCATAAAGTGCAATACATATAAGAGTGTACATTTGGAGTATTGCATTTTATGGGACCATCAACGGACCCAAAACGTTGGTTTGAAAAAATTTAAAATATTTGCGATTTAGACCGAAAAACAAATTCATAATAAAGTGTTTTGGGTAAAATTTCTCTTACACCCTATACCTGTTTAAATTGTTTAACTGGATTTAACCTAGATTACAAATAAAGATATCGCAAAGGACCACCGATCGTGTCAAGTCTAATGTCCTTAATGTAGTTGACGTCACTGATAAAAATGATGATGGTGCACGTGATTCAATGAAATACATTCGCACATATTTTTAGATTTATTATATTTGAAGAACGACAAGACAAACATTCACGCCTATTAAGAGACCTATGATCTTGTCTTACGGCCGGTATTAGTAATTTTACAGATACCTCCTTAAGTGTGTTAGGGCAAGTATCTATGGTTACAGCGACGGCTACCATGTTCTATAAGGTAAGGAAATTTAAACAAAAGAAGATTTCTTCATACTTCGCAGCAGTATGTAGGTATGAAGTTCTGGCCACCTGAAATTGAAACGAAGTCTTTTTCTGCGTTCTCCACCATTTTACCAAAAAGACTTAAATTAGCGTCTTGCAAAACGTAAGAAGTAGTAGTTAGTAGTTTTAGTAGCAATAGAGCACAGAGAAATTACAAGCACATGAGACTTGTCAACTTATGTCTCTGGGTAACGGGAGCATTGTCCCTCAGATTTTTGTGATTTAAAGCTCTGAGTGACGCTGCAGCTGTTATGATTAGGCGTGCCGCTTACCACCAGGCGTACGACTGGTTCGTCTCGACACTCGGTTTCGTAAAAAAAAGATAAAAGTATATTGATTGCGTAGGTGCTTATTTTGATTAATTATGTGTTATTAATCAAAACAATTCATCTATATACAATGGAAGTT